GTGCCCACCGCTTGCCTGCTGCTTGGCCATTGAATGCCCCTTATGTGGCCACTGCTTGCCCCCGGCTTGCTCACTGCTTGGCCATTGTGTGCCCCTTACGTGGCCACTGCTTGCCCCCTGCTTGCTCACTGCTTGGCTATTGCGTGCCCGCTGCTTGCCTGCTGCTTGGCTATTGAGTGCCCCTTACGTGCCCACTGCTTGCCTCCTCTTTGCTCACTGCTTGGCCATTACTTGCCTACTGTACGCCCTGTGTGTGCCCACTGTTTGCTCACTGCTTGGCCATGGCATGCCCCTTGCGTGCCCACCGCTTGCCTGCTGCTTGGCTATTGAGTGCCCCTTACGTGCCCACTGCTTGCCTCCTCTTTGCTCACTGCTTGGCCATTACTTGCCTACTGTACGCCCTGTGTGTGCCCACTGTTTGCTCACTGCTTGGCCATGGCATGCCCCTTGCGTGCCCACCACTTGCCTGCTGCTTGGCTATCGAGTGCCCCTTACGTGGCCACTGCTTGGCCGTTGAGTGCCTCTTACTACATGGCTACTGCTTGCTCATTGCTTGGCTATTGTATGCCCCTTTAGGCAGCCACTGCTTGCCCCCTGTTTGCTCACTGCTTGGCCATCACTTGCCCACTGCATGGCTACTGCATGCTCTGCGTATGCCTGCTGCTTGCCTGCTGCTTGGCTGTTGCCTGCCCCTTGTGTGCCCACTGCGTGGCCATTGCACACCCAGCGTGCACCCGCTGCATGCCCATCGCACGACTGCTCCACGCCGCCCGTGCCTGCGTTGCCTGCCTGCCCCCTGCCCGCTGCCTGTCTCCCGTGGCAGCATTTCATGCCCATTTTGTGCCCACTGGGCACCCCGCTGACCCCCCCCGCCCGCCCCAGGGTGCAGCTGGCCGTCAACCGCCGCACCGAGGAAGCCGTGGCCGTGAAAATCGTGGACATGAAGCGAGCGGCCGACTGCCCAGAGAACATCAAGAAGGAAATCTGCATCAACAAGATGCTCAACCATGAGAACGTCGTCAAATTTTACGGGCACAGGCGGGAAGGTGCCACGCAATACCTCTTCCTGGAGTACTGCAGCGGCGGCGAGCTCTTCGACCGCATCGGTACGCCGGCTTAAAGATACCTTTTGTTTTATATAAAACGATGCTTTAAAAAATTAATCCCTAAACGGTTGAGAATTATTCTTCCCCTTCTTCTTCCCCTCATGCAGAGCCGGATATCGGGATGCCGGAGCCAGAGGCACAGCGTTTCTTCCAGCAGCTGATCGCCGGCGTGGTGAGTGCGGCAGCGGTGATGCCAGCGGCGATCCCCACGATGCCGGTGACGATCGACGATCCCCGCGTGGCGCTGACCCTTCTCTCCATCCCCAGGTCTATCTGCACAGCATCGGCATCACCCACCGTGACCTGAAGCCGGAGAACCTGCTGCTGGATGAGCGAGGTGGGGGGGAGGCGGCGCATTCCCTCTCTGGCCCCCATTTAACTTGAATTTTGAATTTCGAATTTGAATTTTGCATTTGAATTTGGACCCAGATAACCTGAAAATCTCTGATTTTGGCTTGGCCACCGTCTTCAAGCACAACGGCCGGGAGCGGCTGCTCAACAAGATGTGCGGCACCCTGCCCTACGTGGCCCCCGAGCTGCTGCGGCGCCCCGAGTTCAGGGCTGAGCCCGTCGACGTCTGGGCTTGCGGCGTGGTGCTGACCGCCATGCTGGCCGGAGGTGGGCCGCCTGCAATGTAGAGGGGGACCTATGGAATGCATAAGGTGGGGGGGGTGCGCAAGATGCTCAAGGGATATATGTGAAATGGGAGGGGGGTGTGTGCGTGAAGGGCGTTTAGATGGGTAGGGGATGCAGAGGGGGTGTATACGAAATGCACAGGGGGTGTACGTATGGAAGGCATAGTGGGAGGGATGTCTGAAATACATAGGGGGGATGTATGAGATGCATATAAGGGGGATGTAGAGGGACATACGATGTGCATAGCAGGGTTGTATGAAATACTTCAGGGGGATGTATGGAAGGCATAGGGGGACATAAAATGCAGAAGGGGAATATATGAGATGGTGGGGGCGGAGTATGTGAAATGCTTAGGGAGGTATGGAATGCATGGGGGGCAATCCATGAGATGCAGCGCCTGGTTCAGAGCAGAGGCGCCTGGCACAGAAAATCACCGCAGTGGCGTAGTCAGTGCTGCTGTGTGCTGGGGCACGCCACAGAGTGTCTGCACGTTGCAGGGTTTTGCATGCCACGGGGCTTTTGCACGTTGCGATGCTTTTGTGTGCTGTGGGGCATTTGCAAACTGCAGAGTGTTTGCACGTTGCAGAGTGTTTGCACGTTGCAGAGTGTTTGCACGTTGCAGGGCTTTGCGGGCTGCAGGGTGCTCGCACACTGCAAGGCTTTGCACGCTGCAAGGCTTTGCACGCCATGGGGCTTTTACACATCATGACGCCTTCGCACGCTGTGCACCTTTGCACATTGCCCCCTTTGAAAAACCACGCAGGACTGGTCTTTGTTACCACCCCCCCCTTGCAAAAACTCTCTGTGCAAATCTTGCTTCGCTGCCTCCTTGGCTGCATTTTTGCCCTTTCTGTTCTCCCTCTGTCCCAGTGCAATAACGCAGTGGGTTTTCCCATCCGGCAGAACTGCCCTGGGACCAGCCCAGCGATAGCTGCCAGGAATACAGCGACTGGAAGGAGAGAAAAACCTACCTCCCACCTTGGAAGAAGATCGATTCAGCACCCTTAGGTAAGCGACCGGCACCCGGCGGCACCTGATGCCACGCCGGCAGTCGCCATTTCCCACCCCCCCATCTCCCCCAGCTTTGCTGCACAAGATCCTGACGGAGAGCCCGACGGCGAGGATCACCATCCCCGACATCAAGAAGGACCGGTGGTACAGCAAACCCCTCAAAAAGGGTAAGGGGCCGCCGGGGAACGTGCTCGTCCCCCCAGATTTGGGGAGGGGGGGTTACTGGGTGTCTTGTCCCTTTGCAGGCGTCAAGCGGGCTCGCATGTCCTCGGGGGGGGTTGCTGACTCCCCTGGTGGCTTCTCCAAGCACGTCCGATCCGATATGGACTTCTCGCCGGTGAAGAGCATGCTCGGGTGAGCCTCCGGTTCCTTTTGCATCCCCCTCCGCGTGCTCCCGCTTGCAAGCGCGCACTTGGGTGATGCAAGTCGCCTCGCTGCTGTTTGTGCTGCTGGGGTTCGTTGCGCCTGTGCAAGCGGGAGCTTTCCCACGTGTTTCCACGCCGCAGGGCTTTGCGGGTTGCAGGGCTTTGCACCCTACGAGGTTCTGTGCTTTGTAATTCTTTGCACCTTGCAGGGCCTTCCCTGTGTTTTCACCGGGAGGTGGTTTGGTAGAAACCACGCGCGAGCCTGCGTTTACCCTGCTCGCGTACGCACAGTCGTGCAAAATCCCAAAGCGGTGCAATTCCCGTGCTCGAATATCTCCCCGTTCCCCATCCTCACGATCTCTCCTTTGCACCGGCGTCCCTAACGTCCCATCTCCCCTTGCATTGCAGCGAGGAGAAAGCAAGCTACTCCACGTCCCAACCGGAGCCCGGCACCGGCGGGACGCTCTGGGAGAGCGGGGCGGCCAGCATCGACAAACTCGTGCAGGGCATCAGCTTCTCCCAGCCCGCCTGCCCCGACCACATGCTGGTCAACAGCCAGCTCCTCGGCACCCCAGGCTCTTCCCAGGTGCTGCGCGGTATTGGGGGTGCAGCTCCGTGGGTTTCCTTATATCGGGGTGCGGCTTTGCAGTATTTGGGGTGCCAGTCTGCAGCGTTTGTAATATCGGGATGTGACTTTGCAGTGCTGGGGGTTGCGGCTTTGCAATGGTTTTCGTCTCGGGATGCAGCTTTGCAAGGTTTTATCGTCTCGGGATGCAGCCTTGCAATATGCGAGGTGCAACTCTGCAGTATTTGGGATGCAACTTTGCAATATTTGGGATGCAACTTTGCAATATTGGGGATGCGGCTTTGCAATATTTATCACCTCAGGGTGCAAGTTTGCCACATTTGCGGTGCAACTTTGCAATGTCTTTAGTATCAGGGTGCAACTTAGTAATGTTTACGGTGCAGGTTTGCGGTGTTTATAATAGCAGGGTGCAACTTTGCAATATTGGGTATGTGGCTTTGCAATGTCTATCATCTCAGGATGCAACTTCATGGTGCAACTTTGCAGTATTTTTACTATCAGGATGCAACTTTGCGATGTTTGGGGTGCAACTTTGCAGCATTTACAATATCAGGGTGCAACTCTGCAGTATTTGGGATGCAGATTTGCATCTGGTTTACGATATCGGGGTCCAACTTGGCACTATCTATAATATTTGGGGTGCAACTTTGCATTATGTATAAGATTAAGAAGCAACTTTGCAATATGTATGATATTAGGGAGCAACTTGGCAATCTTGGGGATGCTGCTTTGCAGTATTTATAATATTTGGGGTGCAACTTTACAATATTTCGAATGCAACTTTGCTGTCTGGGGGATGCAACTCGCAGCATTTACCATCAGGGGGTGCAGCTTTGCAACGTTTATCCTCTTAAGGCCGGGTCAGGGGGTTTGCAGAGCTGGGGCTGCAACTTTGTGGGATTTGTAACCTTTGCAACCGGTTTTGGGGGCCGGCAGAGCCCGTGGCAGCGGCTGGTGAAGCGGATGACGCGCTTCTTCACCAAACTGGACGCTGACGGCTCGTACCGCGCCCTGAAAGAGGTCTGTGAGAAGATGGGGTACGGCTGGAAGAAAAGCTGCACGAACCAGGTAGGGATTGGGGTGCAAAACCGGGGGGGTGGGACCCCACCATGCTGTTGCATCTGCAAATAATTTGGGGGATCCCCCCTTTACTGCCCTTTTGCAGGTCACCATCTCGACCACGGACAGGAGGAACAACAAACTCATCTTCAAGGTGAACCTGGTGGAGATGGAGAGCAAGATTTTGGTGGACTTTCGCCTCTCCAAGGTGAGGGGGGAGGGGGTCAGGGTGGGCGCACGATCTTGCAAGACCACGCAAGGTGGGCGCGACGCCGTGCGAGGTTGGGTGCAAGGTGCTGCAAGGCCATGGGAGGTGATGCAGGACCATGCAAGGTTGGGTGCAAGGTGGCTGCAAGGTGAGGCAAGGCAGCATCGGGTGGGTGCAAGGCAGTAGCTGATGGGCACCCATAAAATGGGTGCAAGGAGATGCAAAATGGGTGCAAGGTGGTGCACAGGGAGTGCAAGGCAGTACATGGTGGTGCAAGGCAATGCAAGGTGGGTGCACGACTGCAAGGCAGTGCACGGTGGGTGCGAGGTGGTGGAAAGCGATGCGAGGTGGTGGAAAGCGGTGCGAGGTGGATGCAAGGTGGTGGAAAGCGGTGCGAGGTGGGTGCAAGGTGGCGGAAAGCGGCGCGAGGTGGGTGCAAATCAATGCAACCGCCCGCCTCTCCCCGCACAGGGCGACGGCCTGGAGTTCAAGAGACATTTCCTGAAAATCAAGGGCAAGCTCAGCGACATCGTCAGCACCCAGAAAGTCTGGCTGCCCGCCACCTGAGCCCCCTGCACCCCACCTGCCTCCTCTTCTTCCTCCTCTTCTTCCTCCTCTTCCTCCTGGCGGGGCTCCCACGGCAGCACCCAAAGGCCGTGAAGGCGACCAGCCGTGCACTTCAGATTTTAAAGGTTCAATAAAGCGCTGGGGGGGACGAAGCGATGCCGCTTGCTGCAAGGGGGAGGTTGCAACGTGTCCCATCCTGCTGCTGCCAACGGAGGGTGCTGGGCTGGCCTGATGGGTGCAGCCAGGGCGCTGGGGGCAGGGGGGCCCGATGCAAACTGGGGGCCCTGGGGTGCTCCACAGCCCAGCAATTAAAAAATAGCAATTAGGAATCAATTTCCCTCCCTCCCCCAGCTTATTTTCACCCCAAAAAGGGGTGCTGGCACCATTTTGCCTTGTTACCCCAAATAACTCCATTCAGCCCAGCCTCCCAACCTGCAGCAGCGTTTTGCCCCAAACCCTGAGATTTGCGGCCAAAAATCCTCCCCGGGGATGCGGGGAGCTGCTGTGCATTGGTGCGATACAACCCATTTTGTTCCATATTTTGGGGACCGTGTTTTGAATGCAATACAGCTTATTTTGGGGGGTGGGGGGAGGATCTCAACAAGTGAGGGGCTCATTCACTCTGAAACCTACTGATGTCATTCACGCTGAAACCTACTGATGGCACAGCATTGCTCAGCCAGCGTAAATCCCACCTCGGGATCTCTTGCCAAGCCGTGCAGCCCTAAACCAGCCTGTTACACCCTGGCAAGGTTTAGGGGCTGGCCCTGCCGCCACCCCCCCGCCTTCCTGCCCTGTCTTAGGGTAGCGGCTGCCCTCATTTTCCAACCTCTCTAATTGCTTTTCCGAAGGGCTAACGAGCCAAGAGCTGCCAGGGATTGTTAGCACTGGAGCGAGAGAGGAGAGATGGGGATTAACCCCTTCCCCCCCCCAAAAAAGAGCATCCCCCCCTCAGAAACCCACCCCAGGGTGCAAACCCTGAGACATCTCTGCAATTTCTCCCCAAAGCTGCATCAGCCTTTAATTATTGGGGTAGAAAACACTCTTTTTACTTGTTTTTCCCTGTTCTGGTTGTTTTTTGGTTTTTTTTTTTTTAGTTTTTTAATATCCCTTTCCCCCGCCTTTTTTTTTTTTTTTTTTTTTCCGGTGGGAACCCCCCTTTGGCGAAGCAATTAGCGGCGATTTTTTAATTGCATATTTATATTGCAGCCGGGGAGCGAGACCCCGGCAGCGGGCGAGGGGGAACAGGAAGACGCCGCCTCCGACCTTGTTTGCTTTTCAACCAGGATTAAGCACTTTTAATTGTCCCAGAGATCACAGATTGCGGCTGGGGAGGATAATTAGGCTGAATACAGGGTTTTCTGGTTCACTCCCTCCAGGAATTTATATTTCTAAAGGAAAAAAAAAAAAGCTTTGGGAATGCGTTGGGAATTAAGGTTTTTGGGGGGGGGGGTGCAAGGCTGGACACAACTTGTTGCATGAGTGGGTCTCACCTTTGCAGGCTGTGAGGGGAAAGCCTCCCCTTTAGCAACAAATTCTTTTTTCACCTATTACCTGCTGTAAATAGGTTATTTGGGGGGGGGGGTCACGGGGCATGTTTCCCCCCTGGGATGCTTCAGCAGAGGCTGTGCACCGCTCGCACTCCGCCTTGGTCTCTCACGTTAACCAGGCTTGATTATCACACAGGAATTATTTTCAATCCCAATTTTTAGGGTTTGGTCGTTGGGGGGTTTGTTTTGTGGTTTGTTTGGTTTTTTTTCTCTGGGGGGGAATTCTTTTCCTCTTTTGGGGTTTGAGGGGGGAAATTCTAGGGGGATAAAAGGTTTATTTTAAAATCTCTCTGGGTAAAAAAGGGGGCTGCAAGAAGCCGGGTCCCTGAAAGCGCCCATTGTACAGCCCCGCTGGGGACAAGGCGCTCTCAGAGAGGCACCGGAGCGTGGAAAATGCCTTAAACCAACATTATCGCTGGCGCGGGCGGGCGAGCCGGGTGGGGGACAGCTTCTCCCCCTGGCCCCCCCAGACTCATCACAAATTCATGGTGCTCCAGCGGGCGCGGGTTATTTTGTCGTCCCTCGCAGCATCCTGGGCGTGGGATGTGGGATGCAGAGTTAGGGATGCGACGATGGGGGATTTGGGATGTAGATGGAGGATGTGGGATGGAGGACTTGGGATGCGGATATGGGACAGGATTGAGGATATAGATGCAGGATGCAGGATTTGGGATACAGGTGTGGGACGGGATTTAGGAATTGGGATTCAGGATGCAGGTGTGGGACAGGATTTAGGATGTAGGATTCGGGATTCAGGATGAAGATGCAGGATGGAGGATGCAGAAGTGGGACAGGATTTAGGATTTGGGATTTAGGATGTAGATGCAGGATTCAGGATGCAGATGGACAGGATTTCGGATGTAGATGCGGGATGTGGGATGGAGCGTTTAGGGTGCAGATGCAGGGGACAGGAGAAGGGGCTGCAGAAGCAGGATTTAGGCTGCAGATGCATTTAGGAGGCAGGATGCAGGATTCTGGATGAAGATACAGGATTTAGGAAAAAACCACAGGATTTAGGAAGCGGATGCAGGATTTAGGATGCAGACACAGGGTGTGGGAGGGAGGATTTAGGCTGCTGACACGGTCCCAGATGAAGGATACGGGACACGGACTCAGAACAGAGGGTAGGGGATGCAGAAGTGGGATTTGGGATGCGGAAGCAGGATGGAGGATTTAGGATGCAGGATTCAGGATGCGGATGTGGGATAGAGGATTTAGGATGTAGATGCAGTGTCCCAGACAGAGGACACGTATGCAGGACACAGGCAATGAGCTGCAGAAGCAGGATTTTGGGTGCAGGACATAGCACGAGATGAAAGAACAGAGGCAGGATTTAGGATGCAGAAGTGGGATTTAGGGTGCAGGTATGGGATGGAGGTGCAGGACAAGGGATGGTCCAGCCCCGGAGCATCATGGCGCAGGCCTGGCCATGCACAGGGATCTTGCGACACCCCCAGAGATGGGGAGTGTGTGCAACAAGCCGGGAAATGCAGATTTCCAAGGAAAAATTACAGCTTTTGAATCCCATACAAGGATTTCACTGCTCGTCCCCCATCTGGGAGGCAGAGCCCGGCCGCGTGGCCACATCTGCCTGCCAGATGTGCTGGGGCGGCGATTCAGGGAGGGGAATGGAGCCCCCGCGGATGGGGAAACCTCCCCGCTCCCCCCTGCGCAGGCTGGTTTGGGAACTCCACTCTCCCATATCACACCTGCTCCGGAGAAACACCCAGATGGGACCGGGAGGGAGCTGGAAGGGGCCAATCCGGCCTCGCAAATTAATTTAACTGCAATTAAGCTCTTGTCCTGTGGTTGGGGGGGATGATGGGGATGAGGCGCGGCCAGGATGCGTCTATAGGGGTCACAGCCCAGTATGTCCCAGCAAGGACCCTGGGCTGAGCTTACACAGGGTCCCTGGGTTGGGTGGGGGTCCCTGGTGAGGCCGGTTGGACCGTCGGGGCTTGTTAGTGCTCTCAGGGTCCCGGCAGCAGGATGGGTGTGCGGATGCGGGATGCAGGAGGTGGGATGGAGATGCAGGACGCAGATGCAGGTGGAGGACACAGAGTGCAGGACATGGGATGCAGCTGCAGGGCTCCGGGTGCAGATGCAGGATTTGGGATGCACATTTGGGATGGAGGGTGCGGGATGCAGCTGCAGGGTGCAGGTCCTGGATGCAAGAAGTGCGATGCATGGTGCGGGATGTGGGATGAAGGGTGCAGCTGCAGGATTTGGGCTGCAGGATGCAGATCCAGGGGACAGGCATGGGATACAGGTGCAGGATGCAGATGGAGGGTGCAAAAGCAGGGTGCAGCTCCATGATGCAAGAAGTGGGGCGCAGGGTGCAAGACGCAGATGCAGGCTGCGGGGTGCAGGGTGCAGCTGTGGAATGCAGATGCAGCTCCAGTATGGCGATGCACCACTTTGAGTAGAGAAAAATGGCAGAAACATTTCCCCATCCGGTTTTTAGGGGCAAATCTGGAATTTTCCCGCTAACATCAGCCTTTTGGGGACTGGCAATCCAACCAGTTGGCTTCTTGCAGAAACGTTTCTATTTTCTGAACTGCCCCCCATCAGCTTGGTGTCTCCAGGACAGCAAATATTAATTTAAGAAAAAAAAAAACTAAAGCTGGAGCAATTCCATCCGAAAACACCCAAATCCAGCATTTCCCTTTCTAAATTGGCATGTCCCTCCTTTCTCCTCAGCGTTTCACACTGTGGAGGTGCTGGAGGGGCTGGATTTTTGACTCGGGAGATGTTTTAGCTCTCGCAAAACGATTGCAGCAGCCTTGGGAAGGCCGCCACGTTCATAAAAGCAAAAATGCAGAGGAGTCTATTAAGGAAACTCCTGCAAAAACCCCTTCCAGAAAACATCGCAGGCAACGCTGGCTTTTTGTTTGGGCTTTTTCCCCTCTTATTTCATTGGGGACATGAGTTTTGCAGGTCGTTGAGTGCCAGGAGGATGGTGCAAGGTGGGGTTTTGCCCCTGGATCCTCCTGCCAGTGGCAGGGAGGGGTTTTGCAGGGGAAAATCTGGAATTTGCAGGTTAAAAATAGAATTTGCAGGTTAAAACCTGCAAATATCCCCCAAAATTGGGGAATTGGCACCACAGATGCAGCCCAGCGGTGATGCCAGGGCCACAGGTGAGAGGCCCCATTGGTGCCTCTCACCCAGCAGGCAGGAGAGGGAGAAAAATGTTTTAAAAAGGTAAAAAAAAAAAGCTCCAAACTAGGCAGGCTGAGGTCATTTTTTTGGCGAGGAAGTCGGCTCCTTCGAAATGCCTCCGGGTCGGGTTTAATATCAGCAGAAACATTCTTGGGCAGGGTGGGGAGAAAGCACTGCTCTCACCGTCGAGAGCAGACCCTGAAAAACCCACAACGCCCTAAAAAAACCCAAAACACCCTAAAAATACCCAGAGCACCCCCCCAAAAAAACCTCTGCTGCTTTGCAATCCCC